CGGTCGTGGGGCCTGAACTCTGGGCCTGGGCGCTGTCCCTCAGCTCTTCAGCTCAAGGCTAGCGCTCTACCACTTGAGCCACTTCCGACTTTTTTCTTTTTGCTTATGTGGTGCTGAGGAATCGAACCCAGAGCCTCAGGCATGCAAGGCAAGCACTCTACCACTGAGCCACCTTCCCAGCCCTTGAGATTGTTTTAACTCAGCATACTTTCCTCATCCCTGCCCTCAATTCTTCCTGTTTAACCTAAAGCCAATGCCTGAACCCCTTAAGATGGCTGAAGATGTACTGGAGCGCTGTCTTCCCATGACTACCATATAATCAATCTCCATTCCCTGCCTTGCACCATGTCTGTTTATTTACCATATGGAGGTGAGTGACTTGGGACTTCTGGACTTTGGGCCTGGGGTCTTAAAACCTGATATCATGATTACCTTATATCCAATATCTTAACTTGGCATACTAGAGTTCCAAATTGATTAAAAAAAATAATTTGCATTTCAAGTAAAAATATTGTTTATTTCTTTTATTTCACCACCATTTATACTTATAAACTGTGATAGACACCTTGCATACATCTTATGGAGCAGGACCAGAAATATGCTTTATATTGGTTATTTAATTTTTAGCATCAGATTATCATTATTGTAGAGGTGGGCAAACCATGCAAAAAGAAAAAGAAGTACATTTGCATTCATGGCACAATAGGAACAAACAGTCCAAGCTTTGGGGTTTTACCAGTGGCCAATTTCTTGTGTCTGTCCTTCCTTCCTTCCTACCTTTCTTCCTCCCTCATTCCCTCCCTCCTTCCCTCCTTCTTTCCCTTCCTCCTCCTTTACTTCCTCCTCCCCCTTCTTCTTCTCTTTCTCTTCTTCCTCCACCTCCTTCTCCTCTCTTTCTTTCTCTCTTTCTCTTCTTTCTTTCTTTCTTTCCTTCCTTCCTTCCTTCCTTCCTTCTTTCTTTCCTTCCTTCTTTCTTTCTTTCCTTCTTTTCCTTCTTTTTTTGGTGCCAGAACAGGGCTTGAACTCAGGGCCTTAGGTTATCACCTGAAGTTTTTGTTTGTTCTTTGCTTAAGGCTGGCCTCTGCCATATAACCACAACTCCACTTCTGGCTTTTTTGCTGGTTAATTGGAAATAAGCATCTTGGAGAGTTTCCTGTCTAGGCTAGGCTCAAACTACAATCCTCAAATCTGAGCCTCTAGAGTAGCTAGGATTATGGGTGTGAGCCATCAGTGCCCAACTTTTGTGTTTCTCTTTGAAAAAAAAAAAAGGCACAAAGGGTCTTTATTTTGTGTTCTTGTTATTTTGTGCCAATCAGAACCAAGAGACAAGGACAGTAAGTAATGAGATGCGAGGAAACAAAACAAAACAAAACCAAGAAGCAAATCGCACCAAAACAGATGAGTTTAAATTAAGGCGCTGTCCATCAATCTCACATGAGGTGGGGTGGGGGTGGGGGCATGAGGAGGATGAAGAAACCACAATGCTTAGTTGCTCAGAGGCTGCTGAGCAACTCCAGAAAATCTCAGGGGAGGCACCTCTCCTCGCCGGCGCTGGCCACCCCTGCTTGCCCGCTGTTGCCTCCTGGAAGAGGGCACTCTTCCTTGGCTGGTGCCTGCAGCCGGGGGCTGGAGGTACTGAAAGGCACTCTGGCGGCCCACCTGCCTCTCCACACAGTTAAAGGTGAGGGCCACGCCCACATTGCTCTTCATGATTCTGGAGGAGCCATCAGACGTGCCATCGAAACACCGGCCGAGTGCAATCTCCTTGGCCACGCGAGGGTCCTGATCGGTGACAGTATAGATGCCATAGTTATGGCCCAGTGGATCCAGGGGTGCCAGCATGGTGTATTCACTGGTGTCATTGTTGACCGCCAATGGAAGATGGTTGACCAGATACTCATGCAGCATGGAGTTCACACTGGCTCGACGGCAGCTGCCCTGGGGGATGACCTTGACCAGTGTGCGGTCCACACGGTCCTGATCATAGAGCATCCCACTACACTTGAACTCTAGACAGGCGGATGAGACATTCGGCTGGTCCCTGTCTCTTGTACTCTTCACGTCCCGGATTCCATACAGCTTCCCTACTGTCTGCCGGTGGGTGCCCCCCATGTTTCGAGACCGGACATTTACCTCCAGGGGTCCTACAATCTTCACCTTGATATAGCACGCCCTGAATTCCATTGGCTTGGGCCACCATGCCAGATAGTCTTCAGTCCAGCTCATGGGGTCATCTTCATTGAAAGGGACGGTGTTATAATCATAGCGATCTCCCTCGATCTGGTAGAAGCGGAAGTGGGCTGCACTCGGGGGTGCCTCTTCACAGGCCCGGAGGTTCTCAAAGGCATAGATGGGTCCATTGCTCTCCTCAGCAGAGTTGGGCCTTGGCTTCGCCATGCTGATCTGGAAAGCTGTCTTTTTAACTCTTGGATCTTCGTGGTCCGTCCGGCGGTACTTGAGCTTGTGAAGGTAGTGCTGAGGGACACCGATCGCGTTGGGGTTGAATTTAGGAGAAGATTCCACTGCTTCTAGTTCCTCCCCAGCCAGGCTTGCCAGGACATAGGCAGAATAAGCATCTGGGGTTTGGTCATCACAGAAGGCAGGCAGACAGGCCCCATTGGGGCCTGTGATGACACTGTCAAAGCGACCCCAGGCCCTGGGGTTGGATGAGAAGCCAGTTTGGGGCTCCAGATTGATCACGGAGACGACGACACCTTGAATTTGCTCACTGGGCAAGAACCTCTCACTCCGATAGGCTCTCACTTTAATGAAGCATCTTCGGCTTTCTGGGACGTCCAGGTTAAAGAGGCGTCGCTCACGTATCTCCATGTTACCCACCAAGAAAGTTCTCTCTTCCCTTTTGTGCCTCCTTTGGCTTTCAAATTTGAAATCCCCTTCCTCCTCCCACAGCCCCGTGTCTGGGTTGAGTGACCACAGTTTCATGGTGGGCACGTGCTCCGGCATCTTGACCTGGGTGGAGTCCAGGTGCACCTTGACTTTGCCAGCATTAAGTGACTCAGATGTGGTCTCATCTCTGAAGTCCACGGAGAACATGCCGTATGTACGAAGGGGCAGCGTGTCCCCTTCATCCGTGACAAAGTTCAGATCGCTCTGGGCAGCTGTGGCTGTGGAAATATTCCTGGGGTCCAGGAAGGTCACGCTGGCCTGCACTTTGCCCGTATAGGGCTCCCCGTTCTGTCGGTAGAAAGCCTCCGATGGGATTTCCAGTTCAGCCACGGGGTCTTCGCCCACCACCTCTCCCAGGGGGATGATGTTGGTCTCCATGGCGTCCAAAGTGATGGGCTCCTTCCGGCGAAGCATCTTGATCTCATGGAATACAGCACTCCCCTTCCGGTTGAAGGGGAGCACTTTGGTCGTATTGACAAACTTCTGCAACCTGTCGACGAACGTGAGCACCAGTCTCTCCGTGTCTTGGGGGACATGGAGGGTGAAGGTACCCTTGTAGCCCGTCATGCTCACACGATGGCCCCCCAGGTACACGTGGCCAAAGCGCATGGGCTCGCCATTGTCCGCAGCACTGACCCGGCCCCTCACGATGCTCCGGGTCTCTGCACACCGTTGGCAGCTGCACTCCGTGGCCACCTTGGTGGGCAGTGTGTACCCATGGCACTGGATCTCCCGCTCTTCCATTCTGGAGATGCCACAGCAGTTCTCCACTGCATCCCGACACCGGATGCCGTTATCCTGATGCCCCGCACATGTCTTCACAGGACAGCGGCCCACATCGTAGTAGAAGGAGTTGGTGGCATTCTGGAAGCAGTCGTGGGGCAGCCGGATGAGGTAGCTCTCAGGGGTTGGGTTGCAAGGAGGCTCATCAGGTGCTGAGAAGGACAGGGGGGTGATGGTAGCATGTAAGTTTATGTCCTCCACAGAGTAACTCTAGGTCACTCTACCCTCTCCCTACCCGCCTTTGTTTTGGTGCTTAACTCAGGACTTGGGTACTATCCCTGAGTTTTTTCTGCTCAAGGCTCATGCTCAACCACTTGATCCATGCCCCCCCACTCTGGCTTTTTAGTGATTAATTGGATATTCGAATCTCACAGATTTGCCTGCCTGGGTTGTCTTCAAATCCTGATCCTCAGATCTCAGCCTCCTGAGTAACTAGGATTACAGGGGTGAGCAACTTGGTGCCTAGCCTTGTGTGTGTGTGTGTGTGTGTGTGTGTGTGTGTGTGTATGGTGCTGGAGGTCAAACTTGGGACATCATACTTCCTAGGAAATTACTCTACTGTGTCACATTGCTAACCTTCAATGTCACCTCTCTGGGGTTTTATTTGGTTAGTAATTGTGCCTATACTGGGGCTTGAACTCCAGCCTGAATGTTTGTTAGTTATTTTGGGAATAGAGTCTCATAGATTTGTCTGCCTAGGCTGACTTTGAACCTGGATCTTCAGATCTCAGTTTGTTAAGTTGTTAGGATTATAGGTATGAGCCACTGGTACCCAGCTTCGCTTACCCATTTGTTTGGGGTTGTTTTTTTTAACTGTATTTTTTTTGGTCTTTTCTTTTTTGGTACTGGGAATCGAACCCAGGATGTTGCACTTGCTAGCAAGCGCTTTTCCACTGAGCTACATCCCAGCCCATCGCTTACCCATTTGGATTGCTGTGCCAAAGCATGTAGATATTGAACTAATACTAATTTGCATTTAAATTATTTTCTTATTTTATTAGATTGATTAATTCGCTTTTATTTTTATTTTTATTTATTTATTTTTTTTTGTCGGTCGTGGGGCTTGAACTCTGGGCCTGGGCACTGTCCCTCAGCTCTTCAGCTCAAGGCCAGCGCTCTACCACTTGAGCTACAG